CCAGGTCTTTGGCATCAACTGATGTGCAAGTTCTCAAAAAGAAAGCACAAATCAGAGTTCCCAGTTTCACTACCAAGAATGAGGTTCTGAATGAGCTTGGCCTCGTCTTCTCTTTTGTATTCCAGCATTCCAAGGTACTCCTTGGGTCCTGGCGACACGTGTACATCATTGGCTGTAGACAGAGGCAAACGGTCAGCTAAATACACAAAAACAACTTTCACAGGTTTCATGAGACTACTCTGCCTCCTTCTACCCCATGCTGGCTGGTTTGTACATGAACTTCCGTGGCTTTCCGATACATCAAAACTTTACTGTATCCTGGAGAACTGTTCTGTCTGTGAATATATCAGCGAGTGCACAGCTGCTAAAAAGGCTGAGTTATCCTTGAGAAAAGCCTTACAAGTGCCTGATGCATAACCAGCACGGTGGGACTAGGATAGAAATCCAAGATGTTGCCCTGTCTTCAAGATGCAGATGCTACAGTGAAAGAAGCAAGACTCACGCAACGTTTCGGTGTACAAAGTACTAAGCTGCACCATCCTAAGAGGGCTTTATTTGTTTCCTATGGCTGCTGTAACAAATTATCACAAATTTAGTGGCTTAAAACCATGGATATTTTTAATCTTACAGTTCTGGAGGTTAGAAGTCTGCAAGCCAAGCCAGAATGGAGAATGGTGATTCATTCATTCATTCCAACAGTGGGGACACAGTGGGGGCTGGGAAGGACAGACCCGGTCCCTGCTCTCAGGGCGCAGACTGCCATTTGTCATTTATCACTGAAGGGGAAAGACCCTCAGTTTGGTTTTGGACATTTCAAATTTGAGGTGAGAGTTGGATAAACAAGAATAAAGGAGCTTTCCAAAGAAATGAATATAGAAAAAGGAACAGATGGTTGAAAGTACAGCCCTTAGCAATAAAGGCCGAGAACCAAAGAGAGAAATGTACGAAGAGAGCATGAGACAGGCGAAGTTCAGTGACTCACAGTAGGAGGAGGAAAGAAAAGCTGAGGGTCCTTTTCATAGGAGCTCACGGGAATGCTTTGAAGTGTGAAGTGCAGCCCATGTTCAGGGTATCTGGCTTCTTACTTCCCCACTCTTCTCTTCTAATAGAAATTGGGATTCTCTCTGATATCACATATGTAACAGGGAGAGAAGGTGACTTTTATTTTGAAACTTGTTTACAGTTATTTAAAAAGGAGGAGCTAATAGAGAAAGAGGTTTAAGAGCATTCATGATAGGATCCCCTTGCAAATACATGAGCATATCTCGTGCCATCTGGTGGGTAGTGAGCTGTCCTCCTGCCTCAGAGGATCTTTTCGTTAGCCCATCACTAGGTCCTAAACCCATAAGTTGGGAATCATTCCTCTGGGTTTCATAGGCCTTGGCCAGATAGAAAATAAACACGAGTGCGCGCTGACCTTCGCTCAAAGCTCAAAAGAATAAGAAGGTGAATATCATTTTTCTTACCTTTCTCAATTGTCTTGGTTAGAGTCCTGACTTGATCTTGTAGCTTTTTAATCACTCTGTCCTTCATGTCTAACTCTTCTTCAAGATCCTTCAGAAATAAAGAGAAACAAAGATATTAGCTTAGAAGCATCTTAATCTATTTTTTGGTAACAGCTTTACTGACCCGTAATACACATACTATACAATTCAGCCATTTAAAGTGTACAACTCAGTGGTTTTTAGCATAGTCAGAGTTGTGCTACAGTCACCATTATCTAATTC